ATTGGGAGACTTATAATGCTCCGGGCTTGCCTCATGAGAAAGGAAGTAGGACGGTGGTCGGGACACTCCTAAGCTCTTCAGGTTTCGCTCCACGCCTTCGAGTCTGCGACTTGCGGATCCTCCCACTGGTTCCCTTCCTCTCGCTTCTTCAAATTCCACAACGTGATCTCTTCCTCTGATCCTAGATGCATGAGTATGGCATAAGTATTACGAATGCATATATGTTAACAAGTGCATCATGTTTATTGAGTAGGTGCATATCTCTTCTCGGTTATTTAATTATCTTTCCATAATGCATCGCTTATACCATAAAACAACAGCTACTTGTTTTACTCATAACGGGAGTTCTACAAATCCAAATCCAGTGATCCTGGACTTTCTGGAAAGCTTATCAAATTTTCTACAACTTTGTTATTAACCATTTTTACAGTACACATCATTTTCAACATGCAACTCATCAAACTCTAGAATCAGTCCGGAAACTATTCAACATGCAACATAAAGTAACGATACTTCTACTTCATGCAATCATTCAAAATTTGACAACATAGAATCCACCAACAGTTTAAGCATACCAATTACATTTAGAATCATATAATGGTGAAGCCCAAACTATTTATTTAATTGCCTTTATCATTTTATTTATATATCTAGGTTAAATAATAAATATATATCAGAAGTACTTAATAAATTCTAAAAATTTTACAGTGTCTTACTAATTCTATCAAAGGACTACTATAAAAATTTCATGTCATTTTACCAAGTAGAACATCCTATGCAAAAATGACAAGGCAGCAAGGCTTGAAATAACATAAATGGAAAACCCTATTGAAAAGTGTCAAGCAACAGATTTTCTATTTTTCTTAGCATCCATATGGTACTAGGATTACCTCCAACAAATTTCATGAATTTTGGACTCATAAATAATTTATAAAAATTTATGCAAGGATTGACTATCCATAAAAGAAAAATCTATAATTATAAATATACCCATGCACTAGTCCCCAAATTTTTACCAGAGCTCATATATGCTAAGATTAGCTTACCACAAAAATTTCATAATTTTTGGAGCACAGGAACTCTAGATATAAAATAAACAAATTTGAATGCATTCAAAAGCACACTTCAAATCTCTATTTAAATCTCCAAAAATTTGTACTGTACAAGTCAAGAACATATTTTTCCTAAATACTACACTTCCTAAGGAACACTCACAAATTTATTTCAAAATTTTAGGAGCTATCAAACTGAAGATACAAAAATAACAAAACACACTTGAATCTGGAATTTTTGAACTATCCTTAACACCTAGAGTCGCTGACAGCAGGGACCCACGCGTCAGTTGGGCCCACCGGTCAGTGAGATCAAAACAGAGCCGGCGGCGTAGAGCAAGCCCGCGCGACCACAGCTCATCGACGACGAATCCGCCGGCGGTAACATCTTCACTACACGATCTCGTGATCTAGCGGGTTATTGAGCTACTTGGCCGGCCTTGTCGTCGACTCTAGAGTCGACGGCGACGGCGACTATGGCGGAACGGCGGGTCGACGTCGGCGATGCGCGCGGCGACGACCTCGGCGGCTCAACCTAAGGTGCGGACAAGCAACTATGAACGCTGGGGACCTAGCGCTAGCTAGCTAACGGAGCGAGAGGAGGATCGTGGCGGCATGGCCACCACGACGACGGGGGGCTCATGGCGGAACTCCGGCGAGCTTGCATGCGTTGGCGGTGGCTTACTGTTACCGCGAAGGGCACGGAAGAAGCAACGGGTGTCTTTGGGAGACGGTGGAGCTATTGCGGTGGTGCTTTGGAGTGGCGGCGCGAGCCGGGCGTCTCTAATGGCGACGGCGGAGGCGGGAGGAGCTCGTCATTGCGCTATGGTGTGAAGAAGGAAGCCGAAGCGAAATGGGAGCGCCGGGAGGAGCGGGCGGTGGTCGGCGTGATGTAGGCGCGCCAGCGCGCATCGTGGCTTCGGCTGGGCAGAAGCGCAGGCGACGCGCAACCGCTTTCCCCTCCGGGTGGCGGCCAAGGCTCGACGGCGGTCGGCCGGCCACGACGCCGTGATTCGGGCCGTCGCTTAACCTCGGTGCGATCCTCGACGACAAGTTTTGGTGATGATTTATCTTCCAATCCGTGATTTAATTAGCGCTAGGTTACTAAACCAACTTTGTAGACCTAAGTACCAGTTACAATTGTTGTTCAATGATCGTGTTCCAATTCTCAACGTAAACCGAGTAAAATCATGATCAAAGTCGGCTTGTCAGGCTGTCAGGGATCCCAGACTTAGAAAAATTCGTTAAGTGTTGACAACAGTTATTTGTTGACTTTTGTGACCCCAATTCAAGCATGTTAGAAGCTAAATCAGTCCATGATATAAAAATAAAAGTTGTTCCTAATGTCAAACACTACAATTTTGCTTTAGTGAACCCCTCCATGCAAGGTCTCTAATACCTAGTTCAACTTTAGTCAAACATGTCACTTTGAAATCATGATACATATTCAAACCATGACCAAATGACCAAACTAGCCCTAGTCCTAAATACCAAAGTTGTTCATAATGATATCCTGAGCATGTTCAAGCAATTTGCAAGGTCATTCAATCACTTTATGTAGTAGTCACTCATAGAGCTATTTAACTTAATCACATGAAATATGCCTTAAAGACTTGACCATGGAAAATGACATTCATGATCCATGTTCCATTTGTGAACCTAAGCATTGCCAAAAATATTTTGGTGACTCAAATCTACCAAGTACATGTTTACATTCATGATCATTTGCATATGTACAAAGAAACATGCAAAAACAAGCAAACGTTGCATATGTTTCAAGAAACACGAGATAATAAGCAATGTTTCATATGTTTCCAACAAATGTTTCAATTGTAAATGATGATTTATGAATGCTTGATGCTCATGCTCATGTTATGCAAGTCAAGTTATGCAAGGCTAACACCCGAGGTGTTACAACCGAGGAGCCCCCAGCGTAGCTGGCGATGAAGCACGAGCGAGAAATAGTCTGGTCAACTAGTCGGCAGCGAATTGAGCATTGAGTAGAAGCGGCCGGCGAACAGTCCGATCAACTGGTCGACGACGAAGTCTATGAACCTAGCGGTCCGACCAGTTGATCGGTGGAGAAGTCCGAGCACCAGGTGGTCCGATCACCTAGACGATGATCCCGCAATACAAATATGTAGAACGGGTAGTACATGATGTAAAAATATATGAACTCCGAAGAAAAGTCAGCAATGACGATGAAATAGCGTATGTAGCTCGGTGATCAGTTGGTGTGAAGATGTATTTATATTTAATATAAACCACCCGAACAGTTATTGTGTAGCTAAGTCTCCAGCCCTAGCTAGCCCGTTAACCGTAACGCGGAGCGCAGAGCCCGTGTGCGTGTAGGAAGAACAAAGCGTCGCTAAAGAGCCGCTGCCGACCACCCATAACGCAGAGAGCAGACGCTTGTGCACATGTAAGGAGGAGCCGGAGACGGGGTCGTCTCTGGGGACATCCGAGCGTCAACATGACTGTTCGGGGGTTCAGAAAATCGTTTGGAGAGCAAACATGGAGAAAAAAGCTCGGAGAAACATTATGGCGATATAAGAAGATTGGAGAATATTTAAAAAAATATTAAAGCGTGACTTAGCTTTAGACAGAATGTCTGGTCGGCGGCATATGACATTATCTGGTCGGCGACGCGGGCAGCTCGCTTAGCGGCTCGCTTGACGGCTGGAACGAAGTTGATGTCGTGTTGGAGTAGGACGGACATAGTCGGAGCTTGGTGGTGTCAATCCGCGTACGAAGACGTGCGCCGTGGTTGTCGAAGGATGTCGACGCGATCCGTCGAGTTACCGCGAAGGATGTTGATCTTGAGTTACGCCATCTGGTTCGCCAGGGATCAGCGCGCACGAGCCCTACCTGACGCGCCAACTGTCGACAAAAGATGCTCGACAGTCCATCGAGGGATATCCTGCGATGGTAGATTAGTCCACCGAGGGATATCCTGCGGTGGTAGATTAATCGGTGGAGGTGCGCGTAATCAGGAACCGGATGGTGACACAAGGCACAGAAACAGCGATTTAGACAGGTTTGGACCGTCTGATCGACGTAATACCCTACGTCCTATGTCTTTGGTGTATTGTATTGATCTGGATGACCATGTAGATCGATGTCCACTAGGGGACCCTGCCTCTCCTTATATAATCTGGAGGGGTAGGGTTATAAGGAAAGTATCATATTTGGTACTATATAAAATCTTGCAGTGCACGTCGACCAGTGCCGTACACGTCTTGATCTTGTAGGCTGGGCCACATCTGAAGGTGCGGCTCATGTCTTGTCTTGTGGATACCGCGGACCATACTCCCACGGTGATGCACCTTAGCCACACTAAGGTGGACGGCAAACCTAATTCTATATGCTAGTGTTCACTCGTCTTTTTCTTCTTGCAGATTAATCGGTCTCCAATCTCGATGCTTCTGATACACTCAGTTCTGGCTCTTTGCCCACATGGCCACATGGGAGGGGTGATCTGCGCCGACTCTTCGATTCCTGAATCGCAGTCGTTATCAACTTTATAGAAACCCAGATGCACATGTGGCTCAGCAGTCTAGCAATCGGTGTCCTGTTGCGCTCTACTGAAGCACTGACCGGACCGAAACCGTAGGTTAACATACGCCCCGTTAGTTTAGGCTTGTTTGGCTGGTGATCAATCATCCGCCGTGGTGTGGACGCGCGGGTGCGGCTTGACACCCCGCGCGGCGCGCCCGTCCGACCCGTCATCAGCTCGGTGGTTCACGTCGGCGGTCCCGCTCTTCTTTGTTCCGAACCTTCGTCACCCTACCCGCCTGGCCACACCCACACACGCGCAATCAGCGACGACCCCAGGCCAAAGGCCCAGCAAGGCAAGCAGTGTCACTGAATCGGAAAAGGCGTCGCCTTCAGGGAGTCAGGTGCGTCTTCTAGTCCGCTGGTTTCTCCCCTCGCCTTCTCTTCCCCAACTCACCGCACCGATCCACCTTTACCAATGTTTTCTCTCTTGTGCTTGTTTTCTTGGTTCGTCCCAGAGAGCGTTGATCTCGCCTTTGCTGGTGGTCTGGTCGGTGGCAGCGGTGACCTGTGATGGAGCCCCTGGAGGTGGCCATAACGATCATATTCGACGCGCTGCTGCTTGTGTTCATGGTCAAGCTCTTCTTCGCCATGTTCCAGATGAAGCTCGTCGTCATCCTCTTCTACCTCGTCATCCTCCTCTTCGCCATGGCCTTCTCCGGCCAGGCGCCCAGTAGCTTCTAGCTCGTAGCAGGTGGCAAAAATCTTTCTTCCCATGTCCCCCCTTCTTTCGTTTCTTCTCCTTTTGAGGGTATAGATCGGTGGAGTCGTGCAGCACTACGTCCTGTGAAAAGATTAAGACTATCATCTCGGTTTTTGGTTCAAGACTAATTTTTCTCTAGAAAAAAATGTATGCATGATCCGAGGCGCAAATTGCGTACGCGTGAAGAGAAACCGTGTGCTCAAAACACGTGAATTAGTCAATCTAGAGCTTCTCCTACGTTTCATACTTCTGTTGATCAATTTCTAAGTAATTCGTGCTGTACCTTCTGCCTTTTACCCTTTTGTTATGGTTTCGTGGATCACTGATAGAGAGCCGTGGTGCAGATGAAAAGAGATGAACAGTGAACATTGTTGCTTGCGTAAGCTTCACCCTTTTTTCCTTGGAAAAACTTCCCATATTTATGTTTTTTTTGGGGGTAAGATGTAAAATAGTGTTTCTCTTGCTTTTGTTAAAATAAACAACTTCTCCTAGAACCCTAACTCTCGCCATGTGGCCTCCATGATTAGAGAAGGCCCCGGAAGTTCCGAAATGGTAGACTTTCTCGACTGCACGCTCATTGATTTGTGCAATGTATACATAAAAAAAAAAGGAGCATCGACTTTGGTGGGTATCAGTCTATGGCCCTTTTCTCGTCCGCGTCGTATTTTGTGGACTGCCTTTTCCTATATATATATATATATATATATATATAACACAATTGTTGTGTTGTGCTTTGTATATTCACGGTACATTCTCGTCGTGATGATACATGATAGCAAACGCTGATGCAAAATTGACGCCATACTCACACAGAAAGCAAAGCAGTCCTAACTACCCATGCGTACAGGGGACGCCTGTTTATTAGTAGCAGCTTAAAATTTCCAAAAAGAAATAGATAGAGAAGAAATTAGTGTGCTAACTTGTTTCAGAAAAAAATAGTGTGCTAACAATATTCCTCCAGGGCGTATTAGTTATGGTTTTTGTTCATATATATGGAGTCAGACCATTATTGGCAACGGCGCCAAATGGTAAGATGATGGTATTGGATCCAAACCGGAGCAGATTTTGTTGAATCTGTGGTTGTTTGGTTTATGGAATCACTTCATTCTAAATGAGATAGTGCATAGTAGATTCCTCAAATTTGCTAGAATGACTTCATTCCTCATACCAGTGCTAATTATTAGCTTGTGAGAAATGAGACGATGATAGATGAACTCATTCCACTTCATAAACCAAACAAAAAAAAAAGGTAAAAAATGAGAGGAGATGAACTAACTCATTCTTCAAAACAAACACCTCTTCTCAGGCCACAGATTGGTGATGTTTTGGAACTATCTTAAGTGAACCATTACCCATTTTGTATTGAGTTTGGACATTTAAATATAATGCTGGTAGAATTGTCTTAAAGTGTACTTTATAACAGTATATTTTGCTGTTTTATAAATATTTTATAACAAGACTAGTGGTTAAAGTCTTTTTTTTTTACCTGAAAACATTCTCAATAGACAAACTGTCACATATTTGTGACCAGAGGAAGTAGTCAATTTTTAGACGAATCTAGATTTAGCAAACTAGATAAAATATTCATTGATATCAAACTAATTCTAAGCGACGGAGTTTCATTGTGACATGAAAATTATTATATTATTCGTACACCTGAGTTTTGGTGCCAAGGTGGAAGTATGTTTTTCAAGAAAAAATACAATTCTTGTATAGTATTAAGGTAAACCATTTTCACCAATTTTTTAAATACCAGCATTTGTGGTATCAAATAAGTATCATTAGCTTCATCAATATTTTTTAGAGTATATCTATTTTATCATAATTGTTGATACTATTTTTTTTCCTAAAGACTTGGTTAAACTTAAAATAGTTTGTTTGAGACCAAACCAAAAATTGCATTCCTTTAGGGGACGGAGATATTAGAAACAATAGATAGATTATATTATCAAGTAAGCAGAGTTTTTTTTTGACAAATCAAATAAGGAGAGTTAACAATAGCAATACTGCTTTGGTCGCCGAATATAAGAAGCTTCTTTGATCCACTTCATAGGACATGATTCGTAATTATTTTTGGACAGTTGTGAAAATGAAAATCCCCCCTTAATTCAAGGGCGATCAACGTAATTCTTTTCAAACAAGTATTTCAGACTTCATAGAGTTGGGATCAGTTTTATTATTATTATTATTATTATTTGGCTGCACCAATTGTCATATCGAAGAAGCAACATCAAATAACTGGTTTCGGGAGTGGTTAAAATAAGATTCAAATGATAAGTTTGCTCGAATCACAACAGCGTACTGAAGTCCAATTAAATCTCACGAGGAATTGGTTGCCGGCAAATTAAGCTGTTGGCCTCGTCATTCTGCTTTACCCTTGTTGGCCTTGGCGGCTTTGTAGGCGGCGCCGTGGAAGTTGAGGAAGAGCGCGAGCAGCGACGCGTTGAAGACGGCGTTGAACACCCAGCCGGCCATCCCCTCGCAGCCGCCAGCGGTGAAGTGGAGCCACAGCATCACCACGGAGGCCGCGAAGCTGAAGAGGAACTGCACGATCTGCAGCTCCGTGACGGCGCGCTTCCACCGGTTGGGCCAGCGCAGCCCGACGCTGCAGGAGAGGTAGTAGGAGTACATGACGACGTGCACGCCGGCGTTGGTGACGAGCGCGATGGGCATCAGGGACTGGCGCGTGGCGAGCCAGAGGTAGCACATGGCGACGACGACGGCGTGGTGGTAGACGTGGAGCAGCGTGAGCGGGCGGCGGGCCAGCAGGATGAGCAGCGTGTCGCCCAGCTCGTACACCTTGGAGAGGTAGAACACGTGCGCCCAGAAGAAGACGGGGCCCGACGCCTCCGTGGCGCCCCGCGGCGGGAAGCAGAAGGGCCACGCCAACCGCGGCGCCGGCGCCGTGGCGGCCGTCGAGAGCGCGCACCCGGCGGTCATGGCGGCGGAGAGCGCCAGCAGGACCGCGTTGTGGGCGGCGGAGGCCGCGCGGAGCGCCGGTTGAGGGAGCGGAGGGAGGCGGGGCAGGACGAGTCGGCGGAGGACGAGCACCGCGGCGAGGTAGCCGCAGATGACGGCGGCCGCGAAGGACGCGGTCGCGCCGACCGTGCGGCCTGGCTGCCAGCGGAACGAGGCCACGGCTGGGTGCTCCACCAGGAGCCACCGCACCTGGCTCAGCAGCGACGCGGCCATCGGTCACGGTCACGCCTCGCTCGCACGGGCCGCTGGAACTGATCTGCTCGGCGACCTCGCCTCTGCTCCCTCAGTCCCTCCCTGTGTGGCGTTCCACGTGCCACGTCGTGCTGGGCAAGGCCGAGGCCGCGAGGCGGTTGATCGGGAGGGAGGAGCAAGAGCCGCGTTGGGCCGTTGCCACTCACAGTGACGGTGGACAGCGGCCGCATCCAATCCGTACGGCGAATAAATCGTGACCGTCACGTGATAGGCGTGGACATGGGACAAGGCCCAGACTGAACAACAATCGCATTATACTGCAAAAAATTTCTGGCCAAGCGCCTCCATGAACACTATGGGCAAGTTTGGGGCGTATACGGCTGCTATCTTCTCCATGCTGAATGAGTGGATCTGTATAGGTATTGCTGATACTACCACACAATAAGCAAAGTTTATTGGTGTTGCTTACTTCTGCCTAATTTCAATTTCACAGCGTGAGAAAACGCATACCAAATTTTCATCAGTTGAGGCATGCCCAAAAAGAATGTAAGCATTAAGCAACATCATGTATCGACAGAGCCAACAAGAAAGACCCACCGAGAAGCAGAAGGGCATGGGCATGATTCCATTCCCTGGGCCCTGATATATATATATATTTTTTTCCCTGCAGTCGCAGGCTTTGAAACAACATCGCACGAGATCTTTTGAAGTTGAGGTAGCCTTATGAGTTGCTCCTCGCATTAGAACATGTTCTTCAGCCACAAAAAATAAGGAAAATAACCTCATTTACCACACTGGGGAAAAGATCGAGCTTGTCAGATACAATGCCCACAAAAACACGCGCAAGACACCTTTCTATTTCTATTCTAGTTCTTGGATCACCATCATGATATAACATACTTGGCAAATTTTGATGCATTGAAACTAGAAATTTAGCTACTGCTGATCAACATACTCTAGATGTGTTAATATAAAATCTTAATATAAATTTTACAGCGTTCCTTTAACATCTCCTGTGGGATACCTCGATCGAGCCTCTAAATATTCCTTTAAGCCAGGAGCATAGCAACAGCACAACAACAAAATTTCCATTTCATCAGAGCACAAATGTAAGCACACTCAACCACCGAATTCATCAAGCAATACAACTACACTGAATTAGCCTCAGCAAATCACCTCCGGCAGGGAAGAGGCAGCCGACAAACTCAGAGCTCAGAAGCAGCAGTCGCAGTCGAAGGGGCACAGCGGGTGCCACCAGCGTCGGCCTTGCCGAACCCGAGCTCATCGGCCGAGTATATGGCGAGCCCGTCCGCAGTGCGCCGACGAGGCCGCTTCTCCTCGAACTCCTCGTCGTCGTCGTCAGCCACCCAACCCTTGCCCTTACTCCCCGGCGCCTTGTTGCTCTTCTTCTTGCTGCTGCTGCCCCTCGGCCCTCTCCTTGGGCTTCTTCCTCCTGTCCCCATGGGCATAAGCCTCCTCCAGCTGCGGCGGCTTCCGCTTCTTTCCCGCCTTCGCGGCGCTGAAGATCTCGTCGATCTCGTCCCTCACCTTCTGCTTCTTCGGCTTCTTGACCGCCGCCGGCTGCTCCTCGGTGGGCTTCGAGGGCTTGGGTTTCTTGTCGGAGGATGGGGACTTGGGGTTGATAGACGGCTTCGACGCAGTAGTAGGCTTCTTGTTCTTCTGGGATTTCGTTGGCCATCGCTGTGGGAATTTTTTCCGCCGCCGCCGCCGCCGCCGCCGCCGCAGGCGTCGTCGTGGTTGGAGAAGGCGGCGAAAAGGGTTTGCGAACGGAAGGCGCACGATTAGCGGAAACTGGACTGGAGAGGCAAAATAAGTTCGTGGGCCTAGCTAGGAGTGGGAAGACCCGCTTATTGTGTTGAGCTAGCCTACTGCAGCCTCCGCGTATGCCCAATCGGTTTGGCCCAATTATACATTCTAGGGCCTAGCACCATCGCTGGCATTGGCCTGCTTAGCTTGAAACTAAGAAATTGTCACCCAGGCTAGTCTCAGTGTTACCTAAAAGAAATTCTCAGTGAACATGTTAAAATTGTTAGTGTTTTATATTTACAAGAAAACACATATTTTTCTATAAATAATGGAAACAACCCGGCTTCATCTGTTCAGACCAAGCAAATACATATAATTGTGATAAAATAAGGATGCTCCATATGATCATGTTTTTATCTCTTGAGACCAAGCAAATACACATAATAGTGATAAATAAGGGTGCTCCATATGATCACGTTTTTTAACACGATAGTAACTATCACACGGAGCCCGATTAGAGAAACCAAAGGCACAAACTCTCCATGTCTACACAATATGCGAGCAGCACACGCGGGCTTGCCCAAGCCCTCCCTCCAAATGTACATCACAATTTTCAAACAGGCTAGGATGAGAAAACCAAACAGGCCGTATAAGAAATCTGTCAAGCACGAGGGAACACGCTTCCCTAATACTAGTATATCAACTCAGACAAAAAAAACAGATATATTGAATTTTCCATATTATAAATTAAAGCAGTCCAAATTACTCCCCCAACTCTGGCATATGTCGAGATAAACCCATAAACTTGTTTGGTCGCAACTCACAACTTTTGAGTATCGCTTCTACACATAATCACATATGTACAACTGGTGCAACGGGATTTATATATACAACTGGTGCATGGGATCATCTTACCCATTGCTTTTCTGCAATTACAACACCGTCCATATAAAACGAAAATAAATGAAACAGTTTTTTTATGAATGGCAATCATTACTTCACCATGATAAAACATTAAAACATGTTATTACAACCACATATGTACAACAGATGGGACGAGTTTTGTATTTACATTTTGCAACTTGCTGATCCCGCATGAGGGCCTTTTGCACTCACAGGGCCTTCATAACAAATCTGGCAGACGCAGCAGCACCCTTTGCTGCCACCTTCAGGACATGACGGCTCTTGTACAACCTGCATCCAATTCAAAAGGTAACAGTGAAAAGAACCATCAAACATGCTTTACGCACATTATTTACATTTGTAGATAATAAAGAAAGTATTTTTTTCACACAGTCACTTAAGCATAATCTTGACATAATTGTAGTACATTACAGGACAGTTAAGGCAAAGTATGATGATATAACCAATAAAAAGGTCAATATGTTGACCTAAATTCCATCACAAATGTTAATGAGTACCAAACTACCAGTAGAAGGTTAGCACTGCAAAAATACTCTAGCATATACCTAAAGAACAACGAGAAATATAGGTTTTGAGCAATGATACAACAAAATCCAAAAGAGCTAGAGTGGAGTAAACTTTTGAAGCTCAACTGCAAACAGGATGAGAGATTTACCCTGCTAATGTGATTCCCCAAGTGGCCAAGATATAAATAATCTGTCCAGCCTCCCAAAAGGTTGACCATCTCCATCGAGCTTTCATGCTATCTAATGCCTTTGCAACAGCTAAATACAAGTTAAATCCAACAACATATCAGATTGCACAAGAAGATAGCTCAAACCCATCCACAAATAATAAACTGATGGAGGCAAGTAAAAAAGCAAGTTCAATCTCATACATACTGTCTAACATTCATGTTAAACCACCCAGAGCATCTATAAGGTTAATTTAATGAGAATTTGAAAAGAAAAAAAAAACTGTACCCAACATATCTTTCACCAGTACAAGTTCATCTAACAGCAATCTGAAAACCAATTTAATCAATCATCACAATTCACATACACAACCTCATCAAAGCAGCAATGGATCCTTAAACTGTGATATCTACTTTAGCAAAGGCATTGTCTCTATAAACCAGTAGCTTTTGCTAGCAATGGTGTGCATCATACACTATAGGTGTACACTCTCAAGTACCATAAGGATCGACATCTTTTACAATGCCCTATATATGGCTATATCTCATATGTCCTCAAGTAATCAAGAAACTAGATAAATCCCTAAACCAAAAGGGTCTGATCATCATCCATGCATAGTAATAATAAGATATATAGTAGCAGAGTTGAGAATTGTGGGTAACTATTCAGAAATGATGAACCCCAGAAACCCGGACAGCTATTTAGTGGTGCAATGTTTGAGTGCAGCATGGTCACATGGAGGATAGACGTACCCTTCTGGAGCTGCACTGGCGATAACGACTGAAGGAAATGTAATAAGAAACAGTTAGACATCATAGAAGTGCTGAAGAGAATGCTCATCAACCATTGGTAGCATCTAAACAAACTCTTAAAGAAGGAAGTACCTTGGATTTTGGATCTTCAAGAATGCACCTAGCAACAAAGGTGGCAATACCATCGACTATGTCGCCTTCATTGATTATGACATAATTTTCATCATCAATCCCACTAATTTCCTCCAAATTAGCCCCAGCAGTATCACAAGCAACCAAGACCCACGATCCTTTCTTCCCGTTACCCATTTTGTCTGGAATGTCTGCAACTTCCACCTCTAGTTCCATTCAAGCAGAAATTGGAAATGAGTTAGTTTCCTCACACTTTGCGAATGTATTAGAAGAACCAACGGTGACCATAAAACATAGCCTAGAAACAAACTTTACAATGCTTAGCGAGGAATGAACCTGTCATGTTGCCAGAAGATAGTTCATTATGTTCACGTGCTGACTCATCCTGTAATTTCTCGAGATGAGCAAGGAAGCTAGCATTGTTGACCGTCGCCATCAGTCGGTTGTACAGCTAAATTGTAAAATCACATCCATGAGCAACAAAAAAATCAACCCAATATATAAGAAACATGTAGCTATAAAGTGGACAGGGCATGAGAATACACAAAATGAATTTTGATTACATTTTGTTTGCTCTTATCTGCAATAGTTGATATATTAGAAAGTGCCACACAATAAGGTTAATCTATCATGATGAATTGATGATTGTAACCTCCGAGGCTCAGATATCACATCTACGTTTCGAGATACACTAGGAATTAATTTGGGGAAGAATAAGGCCCACACCCTTTGGGATATGATTTAGTTCTAGCGGGTCAAATTATCGACATAC